TACGTTCTGGCCATCCACAAGAGTACGATATCCATCCTGCAATATTCAAAGTTAGGTCTTTATTGTACATTCATGCAGTGATAAAGCATACCTGCGGATCACGTTTAGCGGCGTTTTTGAAGAAACCGGAGCAGATTGCTTTCTGAATTCGTTGGACATCCCGACCGCAGCTCACAAGGTCCAGCTTGTGACGATCCATTATACCCAACAATTGTTTTCGGATATCCTTGAAAGAATAACATTTTTAATAAGAATCAGAACAAGATGAAAGACTTCCTGTGGTACAAAAACTCACTTGCGCTCTCTTCAACGTCCTGATTTGGACGTAGTTCTCAAAACACCAAGGCTGACTGAAGTGATGATGCTTCCATGAATTGTAAACTGCAAGCAGCGTCATATGGTCTCCTTCTGGCTGATGAAACTTGGCCTTTTTCTGATCTGCTTGCTCTTGTTTCTCCTGAGAATATGTTTATGGATGGGAATTCGAAATTGAGCAAAAAAGTTCGGACAATTACCTTAGGCCGGTAGAAAACATTCTGCACTGACAACATAGAAACAATGGTAAGCACTTCATCAGAGCAACCCAGTTCTACTGACATGATGAGCAACTTCGCAAGATTGGGTTCTAAGGGGAATTCAGCCATCTAAATTTAGAGCATTATATATGTCGATCACATAAAGAGGTCAAAGCATGAGATGAAATAAACAAATTACTCACTCTTCGACCCAGCTTCGTCAGAAGTCCATCACCATCCAAAGCGGAGAGTGTATGCAACTGATGCAAAGCTGTTATCATTGCATCCAAAGGAGGGGCGTCCATGAAATCGAAATCAATGAGGTTATTGATACCCATAGCCTTCAACTGCAATAGCGTTGATGCCAAGTTTGTTCGTTGAATCTCGGGTACAGGGGTAGGCAACATCTCATCTCTAAAATCAGCTAGTGTTCTGTGTGGAATGATGACTTGAATCCAAACATACCTGTACGCCCTCTCAGTATATAGGCGATAGCATTTACCGGGTCCCGTTCTCCCAGCACGTCCAGCTCGCTGCTTTGCAGCTGCTTGACTGATTGGTGTCACGACCTAAACAATGTAATAAACCTGGAGGCACTTCTAGGAGAGTACGTGTGGAAAACTACATACCAGAGAATCCATTCCACTCTTTGGATTATAGATCTTCTGCTTGACGAAACCAGGATCGATTACATAGTAGATGCCATCAATGGTCAAGGAAGTTTCCGCAATGTTTGTTGCTATCACGACCTGTGGTTCACGGTTTTATATCTCAACAAGCAATCTCTTGAATTTACAGAACGTCTAATCATTTTGGCACTTCTATTTGGCGAGATCTAACTGTACAAATCGAGAATAATGAGACTCCAGAGCTACCTACCTTTCGCTTTCCTGGTGGAGCTGGATCGAAAATACGGGTCTGCATTTCAGATGGAAGGGCACCATATACCGGCAATATGATAAGCTCAGGTACATCCGGACCTAATGCCTTCATTCTTTCATACAAAACTTCACATGAGGTATCAATTTCCTCCTGAAAAAA